AGTTCATCAACACAAAACCAGGATTATATGAAATACTGAAGGGTATGCTTTAAGAAGAGGAAGAAGAAAAAGGTAAAGGTGAAAATTATGAACAACAAAAAGACATCAAATACATACCTATCAACAAGTGAATCTAAAAATCAAGTGAATAAAAAATCTGAAGAACAAAATGGACTGGTGAATATAATAGAATCAGGGACATAGAAAGGGGCTGAACTAACTATTCTCAGGGGGAAGGGGGTCTGAGGGGTGCGGGAAGAGATTGGAAAAAAAACCTTATACCTATGGATGAAGACAGGGGCAGGGGTAAGAGCATGGGGTGAAGTTGGGAATCAGGTGGAGGGGAACTATGGGGGAAGAGGTGGGAAAGAGGAGCACCTGTAATAATCTGAACAATAAAGATTTATTATTTAAAAAGAAAAAAAGATGGGGAGATTATCTGGGTGGGCACTAAATACAACAACAAATGTCCTTAGGGAAGGATATTTGATGAAACACAGAAGAGGAAAAGGCAATGAGAGCATGGAGGCAGAGATGGCAGTGATGCAGCCACAAGCCAAGGAATGTTGGCAGTCACCAGCAGCTAGCAGAGACAAATAAGCAGATGGTCCATGAGAGGGTCTCTAGAGGGAGTCCGACCCGCTGACACCTTGATCTGGGCCCACCGGTACTGGCTTTGGACTTCTGGTCCCCAGAAGTGTGAGGGAGTAAATTTCTGTTGTTTTAAACTACCAATTTTGGGATAATTTATTAGAGCAAGCACAGAACACTGACTGAGGGTCTAATCCAACACTCCAAAATTTGGAAATATTCAACCAATCAATTTAACTCCATGGTCACTTAAAGGCTAAGAAGCTGTCTGGACTCCGAGGAAAAGAAACAACTAAATAGAAAATACCACACAAGATTCACTTGTTCAACCTAGAAGAAAGCTGGGCAGAGTTTCAATCATGTAACCATACGGTGATATAAAGGGAGAACAATAATTTTTTAAAAAATAGGTGTGAAGAGAGCAATGCAGAAGTTGTCTAGCAAGGGAAGTCATGCCAATTTAGAGATTTCCAGCTGTCCAACATTAGAAGGAAACTCTGTATTCCATGCGGGAAAAGGCAATGCTAACATACCTATCATACGCACCGCTTAAGCAATTCCAAATGCAGGACAATAGCAATCACTCATTAGTGCTATGTGTTCACTCCTTACATTCACCAGGAATCAAACTTGAAACCTTAGCATATCAGGACGATGCTCTAACCTACTGAGCTACCCGGCCGGGGCCATTATCTCATTTAATCAAGACAGGTATTGCAGTATTCATTTTATAAAAAGTGAACAAGCTAAAAACAGGCCACAGGGGCCAAACCAGGATTTAGAACCAAGGTTTGTTTGCCTCCAAAGCCAATTCTCTATTGTGCTATCTGCTTTATTTCACCGTTAATCCTCACACATGCTTCGTAAAGTGGACTTTGAGTTCCGTGAAGATAGGGACTGAGTATCTGTCTTGTTCACCAATGCATCTAGTTAGCAATCAATAAATATTTGTTATATGCATGAATGGAACAGATGAGGCCTAAGAGATATTAAATAATTTATCCAAAATCACACAGCCACTATTTAAGAGAGCCAGGTTCTCTGATTCTCAGTTCTACACACTACAAATTAAGATCCTACAGCAGCCCTTGCCCGTTTGGCTCCATGGATAGAGCTTTGGCCTATGGACTGGAGGGTCCCGGGTTCGATTCTGCTCCAGGGCACACGACTGGGTTGTGGGCTCCATCCTCAGTAAGGGGCGTGCAGGAGGCAGCTGATCAATGATTCTCTCTCACCATTGATGTTTCTATCTCTCTCCCTTGCCCTTCCTCTCTGAAATTAATAAAAAATATATCTATATTAAAAAAGAAAAGATCCTACAGCATATGGAGCTATGTGTGTATCTTGGGCAGGGATTTGACGGTGAGAGGGATATAGACAAACAGGTGAAATAACAGAAGAGTTTGGCTTGTTTGTCTTGTGTAAGTGCTGAGATCCTACCCGAGTGAGGACAAAGCTGAAGACCATGACTGGAAAAGGTGAATTGGGAGCAGCCAGAAGATGAAGGATGTGACTTGAAGATGATTCCGTCGGGGAACGGTGTGGGCAAAGACCAAGATAAATTCTATTCAGGGGAACAGAGCCAGCCCCCACACACCATGCCATCAGTCACAAGGGTATGGGGGCACATGCCAAGGGCAGCTTTGCCCATTAATCGAAGCAGAGTAAGTGATTCCATGTGGTGAAGGACTTCTGAGCCAAACCGGCTGAGATTCTGCTTGCCTGGAGCTGAACTATCTGCCAAACGCTCCCAAAGTACTGGCTGGACACCCAGACTGGAAATGAGAAACTCAGGAATAATGAGGAGTGTGGTGGGAGGCAGAAAGGCTGGGGGAAAGAATTGCTGCAGGACCAAAGCCTGCCTGACTGCTCTTTGTCAGCCCCATCCCCTCGGTCCCGCAGCCTTCCTAAGGAAATGGAAGGTTTTTACAGGACACCCAGTGTAGCCAAACCAGAGGCTCCCAGGTAGCACAGACAAGAAGAAGGATGCCCGCCTCTGCCATGTTAGTGATCGCCTGTAAGTTTCCAAGAGGATGCCTGAGAGTGAGAGTGAGAGTGAGGGGCCTGGCTGCTCCTGAGCTCGGGGTAGACCCTCCCTGGGTCTCATCACAGGGACCAGAAGCAGCAGTACAGGAGCTGGTGGCAGTCCCGTCACGTAGGCCTGCTACACGTAGGAGTTAAGCTAGAAAAGCAGATGCATATAGCTCTGAAACTCCCGATGAGTTTCAGAGCTATATGCATCTGTATCCCAGCACCCAGCAGAGTGCCTGCTCCATGGTGGACACTGATGATGCTGGAGAACAAATGGAAACATAACATTAGGCACCCATAACAAAGTGGATTTGCCAAAACTGGTTTGGTTCAGTGGATAGAGCGTCGGCCTGTGGACTGAAAGGTCCCAGGTTCGTTTCTGGTCAAGGGCATGTACCTTGGTTGCGGGCACATCCCCAGTGGGGGGTGTGCAAGAGGCAACTGATCGATGATTCTCTCTCATCAATGTTTCTAACTCTTTATCCCTCTCTCTTCCTCTCTGTAAAAAATCAATAAAATATATTTTAAAAAAACACAACAAAGTGGATTTAAGAATCTGTTTTCCTAGGAATCTTTAGGTATACCCTGTCAGGATTTCGTTTTCTTTTTTCAATATATTTTATTGATTTTGTACAGAGAGGAAGGGAGAGAAATAAAGAGTTAGAAACATCGATGAGAGAGAGTCATCGATCAGCTGCCTCCTGCACACCCCCTACTGGGGATATGCCCACAACCAAGGAACATGCCCTTGACCGGAATCGAACCCAGGACCCTTCAGTCCCCAAGCCGACACTCTATCCATTGAGCCAAACTGGTTTCGGCCTGGATTTCATTTTCTTAAAACTACTCTTCTATGGATTTCAAAGAGGAAGGGGGTGGGAGAGAGACAGAAACATCAGGGATGAGAGAGAGTACATCCTGCGCGTGTGCTGACCGGAAGTGAACCATGACCTCCTGGTTCACAGCTTGGTGCTCAACCACTGAGCCATGCTGGTCGGGCTGCAGGGTCAGGGTTTGAGAGAGGGAGAGAATGAGATGTGTTCCTTCCCAAGGAAATAGGAGCCAGTAAGGTTTGAGATAACACATCACTTTTAAGTACCGTTGTGTGTTAAGAGCAGTATCTCATTGAACCCACACAATCAACCCTGGAGGAAGCGGGAGCTCAGTGAGGTGAAGTCACTTCCCCAAAGACGTAGAGGCAAGTGGCAGAGATTTAATTTGGGGTCTAATCCAGGTTTGTCTGACTCCACACCATATATGTGCTCTTTTCATTACGCTGTCTTAGGGAGAAATACAGCCTCATTCCTGTCCACAGAGCAAGCCCTGCTCTCTCTCTCTCTCTCTGCGTTATTATTAAACTAGAAAGTTACAGATTTAGTTCCTCTGTGTCCGATAGGACTGACCAGACAGCGAGAAGCGATGTCTCAGAGATTCCAGACCTAAGTTCTGTGTCCCACACCCTCACTCTATAGTCCTCGCTCCATGAGCAATCTGGACCTCGCTCTCAGGAAGTTCTGCTCTGGCTAACCACCACACAAAGAGAACCTTCACCCCCCTTCTCGGGAGCCCTGGAAATCAGGCATCTTTAAGACGGAGATTTCTAATGGAAATCGGGTTTCTGCCTGGCTCACTTCCACAGAACTTACCACGGAAAGAGCCAAGGCCTAGGATTCATCCTGAGTTCTTGGGCAAAAGCCAGGAAAACAGAGCCAGACAGATAGGCCGGAGTGGAGAGGCCTCGTACTAAAAAAGACACGGAAGCAGGGTACTGAGCCCCAGAAAGCTGGCGGGAGCTCCAGGGGCTGGCCCCAGATCTAAAAGCACAGATGCTGGAGGCAACTCGTGAAAGCACCGCGGAGCTCCCTGCAAATCCGAAGTTGCACTGGAAATGTCTGAGTGACAATAGGAAGAGAATGAAGACGTCAAGGAGATGGAGTCAATTCCCAGGGAGCCCAGGAATGGCTGGGGTCCCAGAGGAAAGGCCCGGAGCCTGTGGGTGAGAGACCCCTTGGATCTGAGATAAAGGGTGGGATCCCACACAATGGGGACCGGTCCTCCAAGGCAGAGCGCTGGGAAGGCATTCAGCTACAGAAGGAATTCCCTTTGGGAAGGAGGAAAGGTTGGGAAGAAAAGAGGTTTTATCTGTATAAGGGAATATAGTGGTAACTCAGTGAAGGGGAGGGGTGTGTGTGTGTGTGTGAGTGTGTGTGTGTGTGTGTGTGTGTGTGTGTGTGTGTGTGTGAGCGTGCAGCGCAGAAGGAAACTCCCCAAAAGGAAATGCATGTGAGGCTGGCCGCCAGGAAAGCGATCCAGAGGACTGTGGGAGCGAGGCTCCCGTGCAGAGGGTGTCCCGCAGGAGGCCAGACCCGCAGACTCACCTCGGCCATAGCCCTGCGTGTGCTTGGCAAAGCTCCTCACCACGGCCTCCACTGCCTCCCGCAGCACCGCCGGGCTGCCCGCGGCGCCGGGGGGCAGTGGCAGCCCGGGGGCCCCGGACAGGAGCAGGGGCGGCGGGGGCGGTGCGGGGGGCGGTGGGGCCGGCGGGGAGCCCACTGCGGGGGTGGCGGGGGCAGCCGCAGCCCCGGTCACCCCGGGGCGCAGCGCTCGCAGGGTGCCCCTCCCGGTGGTGCCCACTCCCGGCTGCAGACGCTGCGCTCGCATCGTCTCCATCCCCGCCGCCCCGGGAGCCGCGGCCCGAGCCTGCCAGCCTGGCGAGCTAACGGTCCCAGCAGCCCGGCCAGCGAGCGCCCGGGACTGAGGGCGGTGCCAGGCCCGGCCGTCCGTCAAGCGGGGGCGGGGACCAGCCAGGCCCTATGCCAATCACCGGCGAGGGGCGGGAGCTGGCGGGCTCAGGCCCCGCCATTGGCCTATTGCTGAGGAGGTGGAGGTTACGAGCAGCCAATGGCAAAGGGAGAAGGCGGACGCCTCTACGGGAGCGCCCCCGAGCTCGGGGCGTCTGCGGGAGAACTGAGAAGCCGCCCGGACCCCGGGCCAGGCTGGGGGGGCGGGGGCGGGGGCTGGAAGCCAGGCCGAGAAGAACCATGGACGGGGTGACAGGATGCTTCGAGGCCATTGGCCTAGTTTATAGATGTAGATGGGGAAACTGGCTCAGAGAAGTGATTGATGTGACTTTGCCAACATCACAAGCAATGGAGGGAGGAGCTAAAAAAGCAAGGGAGGATGCTGACATTTAACGAGGAAATATTTACTATATGTCAGACACGACGCAGTGGACTTAGTGCGTTGTTTTATTTGATCATCACAATCACTAACTAGATTGTATTGTTTTATGAATAAGGAAACACGCTCAGCGAGACCAAATTGCCCAAACTAAGTAGCTAGAACGTGGCAAGGAGGGGGGGCTCAGACATAAGTCTTCTGACTCCCAATATTTTTACCTTTTCATCATACCACATGGTGGGGTAATTTTTTGATTTCACATTGTCTAAGTTGGGGGAGTAAGAATGGGCCACTCCTATTGGACCGAGGGCGCGTTAGAACATACGCAGAAAACTAGCAAACTGAGAGGCCCGAGAGCAGATTAAGACACATACCCTTGTTCGTAGAATCTGTCAATCAGTCTGGATCCTTTTGAGCATTCTTTCTCCTCTCTTTCCCTCCCTCCCTTTCCTGAAATCAAGGATGGGGAAATACCCGAAACCGGTTTGGCTCAGTGGTAGAACGTCCGTCTGCGGACTGAAAGGTCCCGGGTTCGATTCCGGTCAAGGGCATGTACATTGGTTGCGGGCACATCCCCGGTAGGGGGTGTGCAAGAGGCAGCTGGTCGATGTTTCTCTCTCATCGACGTTTCTAGCTCTCTATCTCTCTCCCTTCCTCTTTGTAAAAAATCAATAAAAATATATTTTTTTAAAAAAAAAAAAGGATGGGGAAATAGAACCAAGATGAATGAAATGCACCTGGTGAGATGAACGTTAGCCCCCAGAGGAAAAGCTGTGAGTGGTCAACGACTATGATTCTTGAAAAGGGGAAGTTAATCTCCTGGGATGTGTCTGCTGGTGGTGGAGGGAGGAGCTCTTTGTAGGATTCTTCCATTAAAGGCTCTGAGGATGGACCAAGAGGAGACGGGACAATGGAAGCATGCCTGATGCCTTCAGCCCTGCAGGACACAGGGCACTCACCTTTCCTTCTACGACCACAGCTGGTCAGCTGGACTCCTAGGAGGAAGGTCTATGTATCCCTAGATCATTGTAGAATATTTAGCATCCCTCTCCCTCCACATTCCTCATCCCCGCAACTTTCGCCCCTAGGCCGAAGAGACAAAACAGAGACTTCTGAACACATTTATTCGATATGTCGATATGTCGAGTAGTGAGAGGAGTGATTCTGGGGGGCTCCCCACTTCTACTCGCCGAGTGTTCATAAGCTCAGACAGAAGAGCAGTGAGAGCCCATGGCCCGCCCTGGGGAAATGAGGCGGCAAGTGGTATGGCACTGGCTGGGGGAGCCGGGTGGGAATACAAAGCAGGAAGTCGAGAAGTACAGCTGAGAGTAGGAGGGGCAGCAGCAGAACGGAGGCTGGGATTGCTGCAGGAAACCCCCCAGGAAAGAAGACACCCTGACAGATGGCCAGGACCGGGAGCGGGGTGTGGTCAGGGACCAGGCCTGGAGAGAGAAGCCAGACCTGCAGGACGGACGGACGGGGTGGCATGGTCGCGAAGAGGGCAGACAGAGTGTGCAAAGTCATGAGAGGGCTGTTTCGGGGCACACACGGAAAGCTGGGGGCTGCTTCTGCGGGAGAACTGAGGCCAGAGACTACCTCTCAGTGGGGGTTCCCTACTGCTTCTCCACAAATGCCAGTGACGTGGGGACCCATCTGGGGCCCCCAGCCCAAGTGGCCTGGGCACCTGGCTTGTGGGTACTTCTCACAAGCATGTGAAGTGACAACCAGGGCACGGATGCGTGTGTCTGTGTGTCCAGCGAAGAGGACTTAGCCTTCCCTGCCAATAAGAGTCACTGTGCTTGCGGACACGGCTGCCCATGTGTGCGTGCACCGTGCCCAGGAGCACATGCGAAAGACCCCCTGTCTGGTGTGTGTGTGTGTGTGTGTGTGTGTGTGTGTGTGAGAAAGAGCTGGTTCTCCCTCTGTCCTGATCCCGCCCTGTCCCCGCGCTCAGCGCCCCGGCTCCCCGGGCCCGCCCAGACTCTGGAAGCCCCCGAGCAGGCGGATCTGCTCGTTCTGCATGGAGTGGCGCCTCACCAGCTTGCGCTTGGTCCTGGGAGAGCCCGGCGCCCCCGCCTGGGGAGGGGCGGGCAGCGACGGCGCGCGGCCTCCGGGCTGCGGGCGGATGTCGGGGATGGGCGGGTGCGGGTTGACGTTGAGCGGCGGCAGGAAGCCGGGCCGCGTCTGCGAGATGTGGTCCAAGAGCAGCGTGCCCGAGCCCCTGCGCTCCAGCAGCCCCGGGCTCCGCCGGCGCCCGCTCAGCGGGGACACGGCCCCGGGCAGGCTCTCCTGGGACTGGCGCGGGGACGGCGCCGAGCCGGCCGGCGGCAGCGGCAGCGGGGACGCGCTGTAGCGGCGCCGCTCCAGCGCCGGGCGGCCGGCCTCGGGCGGGTCGGGGAAGTCGAGCTCCAGCGGCTGCTCCAAGCGGCTCAGTTTGTGCCGCAGCCCGGAGGGGGGGCCGGCGTCCGGCGCGTCGGGCGCGGTGTTCCGCCGGGAGAGGGCGCCCCCGCCCGCCGCTCTCTCCGCCCACGGGGGCGGGCCCTCGGCGCCCTCGGTGCTGTGCCGCCGGGAGAGCCGCGGCCGGCCGCCCAGCGCCAGGCCGTTGAAGTCGGCGGCCAGGCGCTCCATGCCCAGCCTCCCGTCGGCGGGCGGGGCCGGCTGCGGGGCCACCAGGCCCCAGGGCTCGGAGTTGAGCCTCTTGAGCGGCTTGGGCGGGTGGCGGGGCGGCTTCGGCAGCGGCTCGGACGGGGAAGGGTCCTCGGGGGGCTTGGGGAGCGGGAATTCGAACACGTCCCGCTTCTCCTCCTCCTCCTGCGTGCGGGGCGACGGCAGCCCGCGCGCCCCCCCGGCGGCCTGCAGCTGGATGTCCGACGGCGACGTGCAGGCCCCCGGGCTGGGCGCGGCGGGGGCCGGGTCCTCCACGCCCGGGGACGGCGGCGAGTTGAGATACTGCCGGGTCTTCTTGGTGCCCGAGGGCGACGTGTCGGTGGTGATGATGATGACCTCCGTGCCCTTGGCCTTGCAGGCGTCCAGCAGCGTGGCTAGCGTCTCGCGGTCGCCGCGGTCCAGCGCGTGCACCAGCGCCGAGGCGCCCGCGTGGTCGCGGACGGAGGGGTCGGCGCCGTGGGCCAGCAGCAGCGCGGCCACCGCGGCGCCGCCGCCCCCCGCGCAGGCGTGCATGAGCGCCGTGCGCCCCAGGCGGTCGGCGATGTTGGGGTCGGCGCCGTGCTCCAGCAGGTAGCGCACCATGCGCGCCCTGCTCTGGGGGTCGTCGTAGCGGGCCCGGCAGGCCGCCATCAGCGCCGTCTCCCCCTGGGCGTCGCCCTCGTTCACGTAGGCGCCGCCCTCCAGGAGCAGGCGGGCCAGGCGCAGCTTGCCCTGCCCCACGGCCCGCAGCAGAGCGTGGCCCTCCGTGTGCAGCATCGCCGCGGCGGCCGGAGCGGGGGCGCGCGTGGGGCCTGCCCGGGAAGGCTAGGGGTTTGCGGGGGGCGGGGGGGATGGCTGGAAGAGGCCCGAGGGCTCAGCGGCGAAGCCAATCCCTGCAAGAGAGAGATACATCTTAACTGACGGGTTCGGGCAGGGAAACTGAGGCACCGGCGGAAGGACCCGGCGGGCGCGGGGTGGGAGGGCTCTCCAGGGCCCGGCGCACAGCCCTTCCTCTCATTCCTCTAACTCACGCCCGGAGGCCCCCCCCCCCCCCAGCATGCCTGAGGGGGTGGGAAGAGTGCACCGCAGTGAAGACCAGCGGCCGTGCAAATGGGTACGTGCATGCTCAGAGATAACCCCCTCACCGCACCCCCCGGCTCATCAGACCTTTCCAGCACCCCCCTCTTCTTATCTGCACTTGGAATCCCCCTTTCTCAGATGCCGAATGCCACCCACCCACGCACAGGCACCCATACATTCACACACACACACACACACACACACACACATTCCCGTTCTGAACCTCTTTTAGGCTGCCACAGCCCCATAAATTGAGGGGGGGGGGAGCAGCTTGCATTGGGGACCTAAAATGGGGGGTGGTGGTGGGGGGAGGACGGATTTTTTATTTTTTATTTTTATTTTTTGCCCCTGCTAGGTTCCCCATCACTCCCGGCTCCTGCCCCTCCCAGGCTTTGCGCCCCAATGGATGGATACCTGAACGCCTGCAGCATCTCCGCCCGGCCGGAGCGGAGGCCGGGACCGCCGGGCGGCCGGGGCGGCGGGGCCGGCTTCCCGGGGGCCCCCATGGCGTGGGGGGGCGTCCGGATTCCCTGGGTGTCAGTGGCTGCGCCCGGGCATCGGATGCCGGTCCCTCCTCCCGGTGCGCTCCGGGCACCGCGCCGGCTGGGGAGGAGAGAGGCTGGGGGGGGGGGGTGCGAAAGGCGGAGCTCTGCTTTGCTATTTATAGCCTCGTCTCGGCGGGTGGGGGCGTCGGGCACCAAACCGGTCCCCCACCCAAGCACCCACAAACCTTCTACACCCGGAGCTCCAATCCTGATTCTCCGAGCTTCAATCGCCGACCTCCCTCCGGTCCCCACAAACCTAGAGGGTTCTTAGAAGATTCCTCTGCCACCCGGACTGGGACCAACTACCTTCGCTCCTGAGCTCCGGCCGGTCCCCTCCTCCGCGCTCGGCGTGTGTCTGCGCCAGACCTGACCTACCTACAGCCCGCGGCCCGGGGCGGAGGGGGGGGGGGGGGAAGGGCGCCGGGACCCGCAGCCCGAGCCCATCCTGGGCGGAGAGAGGCTCCCGGTTTGAATGTCAGGGGGAGCCGGAGTCAGACCCCGCGGGGCATCCTCGCTCCTCCTCCCCCCACACGGAGCACTCAGCGCGGATAGACTTGGACCCCGGCTCCCTGTGCAGACCTCTTAAATACGTATGAGGGGGGTGGGTGTCTGGGGGTAATTTTTAGGACGGGCAAGGGCATTCCCGGCCGCCTCCCCCCCCCCCCCCACGTTCTTGGGGGCGAGGGCGCGGGGAGGCAGGCGCGAGCCTTGTGACACATCCTCTCTCGTCGCGCCTCTCCCCTCGGCCTCGCTCAGGCTATTTTCTCATCCTGCGCGGAAGTCTCCGTCCAGACCGCTCCCCGCGACTCTCTCTCTCCCCTGCGGTCGCAATTGGTTCCTCTCGCTGCCTCTGCCTCTGCTTGCCACCTGCCCTGTCTCCATGGTTACCATAGCTTCCATCTGCATATTTTAGGAATGGGTTTGTGTCCAGCTGGAAGGCATCAGAGGAAGTGGAGGGGGGGGGGGAGGAAAAATGATTTCCCAAGGATTTGGAAAACTCACCTGAGGTCATTCAGAGGCCCGAGGCCACCAGGTCCAAGGCACTAAAAATAAGGGGGGAGGGAGACAAATGCAGGGAAGCCACCCGTTTTTACCAGCTACCATTTATTGGACACCAGCAATGTGCCAAGCACTTTACCTACATATCTCCAGTCCTCACACAGCACTGCAAGGAAGGAATGTCTTCCCGTTGTAAGAAACAGGAACTTAGAAAGTTAAGCCAGTTCTCCGAAGCCTCCCAGCTCCGGGTCTGTCTTAGTCCAGAGACTGTGCCCTGGCCTCAACCCTGAGCCTTCTCTGCTGCCAGGCCGAGTCTCTGACACCTGGCATATTCTTGACGCCTATGTTGTACCGCCACTCTGAACTCTGTCTCTCTGTTTCTGGGCCGTGAGTGTGCATATGTGTGTGTGTGTGTGTGTGTGTGTGTGTGTGTACACCTAAGGCTCCTCTTCCCGCGGTGTCCCCTTTACGTATGGCTAAGAGGAGCTGGAGGGCCATGGAACATGAAGGGTACACTGACTCCTGCTCCCTAACCCTAATTCTCTGGTTCCTAACCCTTCCGCCCCCAAACCTCTGCCCATTTTCTTCCAGACATGGCAGCCACCCACAGAAAGAGACTTTTCCCCCCAGAAGAGCATTCATTGGGGTGCTCCAGGGAGCAGGGTAGAGGAAGGCTAGGTCCTGGAGCAGAGGCCACGCTGAGGCCCGCCGTGGCGCAGCCTGAGCCCTAAGGAGCCGCTGGCACGGGGGCTCGTTTCTCGGCGGGAGCCCCTCGGAGCCCGGCGAGCCCTGGGCAGCAGGCCCGCTGTGAACCCCGCGGGCCCTCTGGCCGGGCTCCCCGGTCTGAAAGGAGGTGGAAATCATGGAGCCAGGGCCGACCCTGCAGCCCGGGTCCCTCCGCCGGCGGCTCCCGCCCGGGCTCCGGCTGACTCCGCCCCCCGCCGCCTCGGCGTCCAGTGAGCGGGCCTCCCGGCGGCTCCTCCTAGATTGGCGGGGAGAACTGGCCAATGGGGAGCTCTCGGGGGCGGGTCCAGAGCGCCGTCGGCCGGAGGAAGACGGGCAGACCCAGGTTGGCCTTGGCCTTGGCCTTGGCTCCGCGCGGGGGAGGGGCGGCAGGTAAGGCTCCCACCTGGAGGCGCGGACCTTCTTCCGTCCCGCCGTCCGGATCGGCTGCACCCGGGCCGGCTGCAGGACAGACCGACAGAGCTTCCGGCAGCGGGCTGCCCGCCCCTCCGCCTCCCTCCCCTTTCCCTTCTGGCTTCCCGCTGCTTACTGATCAATACCGTAGTTCCCCTTTGCGCATACATTAAAGCAGAGACAGGCATTAAAGCAGAACGTGGGAAAGACTCCCTCCCGTGCTAAGGACTCTGCAAATGCAGCAGCTCTCCTCGGACCTATGAACAGTATTCCCCTGGGGGCCTGGCAGGCCTGTTATCGGCCAAGACTCAGGTGAAAGGTGACCCATTTCCTACCTTAGCTTTCTTGCACCACCTCCCCGCCATCCCTCCCTCCCCCGAATTAATTGTTTCCCAGTCTGATGATAGCATCTTATGTATACCTCTATTAGAGTCCTTAGTGCACCCTCTCTCTTTAATGTTTCTGGTCTTCTCAGAATATAATGTCTTGTAGGGCAGGTTCTAATACGTAACGAACAGTGCCCAATAAAGGTTGATTGAGTGGAATTGATTGGGGATTCAGAATTTAAATTCCTAGTGTAGTTAGGGAACAATTCATAAAAGACAAAATACAATACAATAAGTATATAATTAAGGCCTCTTAAAAGTAGTGGTTCATTTTATAGTTGCTCCCACAGTTCAGAGAAGAGAGAAAGCTAGGAAGATTGGGATAGTGTGTATGTGGGGGGGGCACTTTATGAATCACAAGGTCTCAAGTTTGGAAGAAAGTTTAGATATCATTCATACACTCAACAAATATTCATTGAGCAAAAATAGATATGCCAGACTGTTCTAGACAAGGGGAATCATAATGAATCCTCTTCTCTAGACATGCAGCCTTCCTCAGGCAAACCATGTTTAGTAAATTGTTATGCAGCTTCTAGTTAATCGTCTTTAGTAAAATGACCCTATCTCATTTTTCGGATCATTCCATTTTTGGATATTTGTTCTTCAATTGATATCCAACAAATATTCTAAACAAATACATAGCTTGACAGACTGCACCCCACACACTGTGAAAGGGGAGAGCAGTCCTAGCGATAGCATTCTTTTTTTTTTTTTTTTTAAATATATTTTATTGATTTTTTACAAAGAGGAAGGGAGAGAGATAGAGAGCTAGAAACATTGATGAGAGAGAAACATCGACCAACTGCCTCTTGCACACCGCCTACTGGGGATGTGCCCGCAACCAAGGTACATGCCCCTGACCGGAATCGAACCTGGGACCCTTCAGTCCACAGACCGACGCTCTGTCCAGTGAGCCAAACCGGTTTCGGCTAGTGATAGCATTTATTTTTTATTTTTATTAAATTATTATCTTTGTACATATACCATTGCCCCCTCCCCCCCCATACAAACCCTCTTTCCCAGAGTTTTGTGTCCATTGGTTGTACTTATATGCATGTATATAAATCCTTAGGTTGATCTCTTATCTCCCCCAGATCTCCCTAACATCCCCACTGTAATTTGACAGTCTGCTTGTTGCTTTACTATCTCTATATCTATCTTTTGGTTCTTCAGTTTATAATGTTCTTTATCATCCATAAATAAGTGAGGTCAGATGGTGTTTCTCTCTCATTGACTGGCTTATTTCACTCAGCGTGATGTTCTCCAATTCCATCCAGGTTGCTGCAAATGATGAGAATTTCTTCTTTTTTATGGCAGCATAATATTCCATTGTGTAGATGTACCATAGTTTTTTGATCCAATCATCTGCTGATGGGCACCTAGGCTGTTTCCAAATCCTAGCTATTGTAAATTGTGCTGCTATGAACATAGGGGTGCATATATCCTTTCTGATTGGTGTTTCTAGTTTCTTGGGATATATTCCTAGGAGTGGGATTCCTGGGTCAAATGGGAGTTCCATTTTTAGTTTTATGAGGAAGCTCCATACTGTTCTCCACAGTGGCTGCACCAGTCTGCATGCCCACCAGCAGTGCATGAGGGTTCCTTTTTCTCTGCAACCTCGCCAACACTT